GTGCTGAATGTGTTGTAAAGTGCTAAATGTGTTGTAAAGTGCTGAATGTGTTGTAAAGTGCTGAATGTGTTGTAAAGTGCTAAATGTGTTGTAAAGTGCTAAATTTGTTGTAAGGTGTTGAATTTGTTGTAAAGTGCTAAATGTGTTGTAAGGTATTGAATTTGTTGTAAGGTATTGAATGTTTTGTAAAGTGCTAAATGTGTTGTAAGGTGTTGAATGTGTTGTAAAGTGCTAAATGTGTTGTAAGGTGTTGAATTTGTTGTAAAGTGCTAAATGTGTTGTAAGGTGTTGAATGTGTTGTAAGGTGTTGAATTTGTTGTAAGGTGCTAAATGTGTTGTAAGGTGTTGAATGTGTTGTAAAGTGCTAAATGTGTTGTAAGGTGTTGAATTTGTTGTAAAGTGCTAAATGTTTTATAAGGTGTTGAATGTGTTGTAAAGTGCTAAATGTGTTGTAAGGTGTTGAATTTGTTGTAAGGTGCTGAATGTGTTGTAAGGTGTTGATTTTGTTGTAAAGTGCTAAATGTGTTGTAAGGTTTTGATTTTGTTGTAAAGTGCTAAATGTGTTGTAAGGTGTTGAATGTGTTGTAAAGTGCTAAATGTGTTGTAAGGTGTTGAATTTGTTGTAAGGTGCTGAATGTGTAGTAAGGTGTTGAATTTGTTGTAAAGTGCTAAATGTGTTGAATTTTTGTTAAAGTGCTAAATGTGTTGTAAGGTGTTGAATGTGTTTGTAAAGTGCTAAATGTGTTGTAAGCTGTTGAATGTGTGTACCTATCATCCATCTAATACCTTATAATACCCTATCACCCATATACTACCCTATACATCCATATAATACCCTAATATCCAATATAATACCCTATATTCCATATAATACCAATCACCCATATATACCCTATACCCATATAATACCTCATACCCATATAATACCCTATTATCCAAATAATAACCCCTCTCACCATATAATACCTAATCACCCATATAATCCCTTAAAATACCACATACTCCCCAATCACCCCTATACTACCTTAAAATCCACTAATACCCTATCCACCCCTATCATACATCTATCCAAATATACCACCCTATACCAAATATTACCTTATAAACCAACTAATACCTTCTCACCCATATAATACCATCATAAACCAAATAAATACCCAAAACCCCACTAAACCAAAACACCCTCAAAATACTAATAAAAACCCATCACCCAAACACCAAATAAAACCACCACATCCATAAAATAACCAACACAACCCCAATACTCCCTACACATACCCAAAATCCCTAAACATCCATATCAAAACCCCACTACCCCACAAAACCCACTAAACCCAATACCAACCCCAAACCACACCACCTCTCATCAAAAAAACCTCAAAATCCCAATAATACCTAACACACCACATTCACCCACTCCCCCAATAAAACTTATCCAACCACATAAACCCTATAACCCATATCATACCTCCAATACCCACTACTAACCCTATCACCCACAAAATACCATAAAATCCACCCTCAAACCCAATACCCCTACTAATACCATACATCCCCTCTAACCCTATAACCCATAAACTACAAAAACAAACTAACCCTCTCTCAATATAAAACCAAATACTCCAAATCAAACCCAATACCTAAAAAAACTTAACATCCCAATCAAACCCTCCACCCCCCCAAAAATACCTTATAATCCATATCATACCCTATACCCATATAATACTTTATAATTCCAAATAAAACCCTAACACCCATATAAAACATTACTCCACCTACTACCCTATCACCCATATAATACCATATAATCCAATATACCTATATAAAAAACCCAAAAAATACCTTATAATCATATCATACCCTATCACCAAATAATTACCTTATAATCAAATATACCTTATATCCTATACAACCTTATAATCCAAATAATACCTTATCACCATAAAAATACCTTCTAATCCTAAATAATACCTAATATCCATATAATACCTTATAATCCAAATAATACCTTATAATCCTATCTACCTTATATCCACCTAATACCCTATACCCATATAATACCTTATAATCCAAATCATACCTATACCCCTATAATACCATTACACTATAATACCTCATAATCCATACAAAACAATATTACCATCCAATAACTATATTACCAATATAATACATTTTCTACACCAACCAATAAAACATTACCCATACCCTACCCATTTCCCCTATCAATATCCCAAAATAAAACCACTCATCCCCCCTATCCACCTTATTTCCATTCCTTATATCCCATAACAACTCCCCCACCATCTCCCTTATCCTCTTTTTATACCTCATACCTAACCCCAAATAATCCAAATATCCCTCTAATCCTCTATCCCCCTTTCCCCCCACATTCTTCTCTTTCCTCCTCCTCTCCTCCTCTCCTCCCTCCTCCCCTTCTCCTCCTCCAACCCCCTACTCCTTCTCTTCCACACTATTCATCCCCACTACAATCCTCCACACTCCATTACCCCCAAAAAATCCATCTCCAATATCTATTCTCCCACTCATAATTCTTTAACTTTCATCCTCCTCCTCCTCCTTTTCCTCCTCCCTCCTCTCCCTCCCATTTCCTCCTCTTCCCTCCTCCTTCTCTTCTTCTTCCTCCTCCTCCTTTTCCTCCTCTTCCTCTTTTTCTCCTCTTTCATTTTCTCTCTTCCTCCTCTTCTCTTCTTCTCCTTTTCTCCTCTTCCTCCTTTCCTCCTTTCCTCCTCTTCCTCCTATCCTCTCATCCTACCTCCTCCATATAATACCCTATCACCCATATAATACCTCTTACATCCAATAATACCTTACAATCTTAAAAATACCCTATCACCATATATTACCTTTAATCCATATAAAAATACCTATCACCCATTAATACTTATAATCCAATATAACCCTATACCCATATAATACCCTATAATTCCAAATAATACCATATCACCTATATCATCCAAATATAACCCTATAACCATATAATACCTCATAATCCATATAATAACTCTAAATACACATATAATACTTATAATCCAAATAATACCATTATAACCATATAATACCCTATCCCCCATATAACTCCAAATAATACCCTATCACAACATAATATCTTATAATCCAATAATACTTATCATCATATAAATACCTTATAAATCCAAATAATACCTATCACCCACATAATACCTCATAATTCCAAATAATACCTATTCACCCATATACATACCTTATAATCCATATAATACCTATCCACCCATATAATACTTATCAATCCAAATAATACACTTTATCCATCCATATTAATACCTTATAATCCAAATAATACCCTATCACCCATAATAATACCTTATAAAATCCAAATAATACCTAAAATACCATATCAATACCTTATAATCAAATAAATACCCTATCAACCATATAAAACTTATCATACATATAATCCCTCACAATACCATACAATACACATATTACCCATCCATAACTACATTACCATATCCATACCTTTTCTAACCACATAATAACATTACCCCATACCTACACTTTCCCTCCCCCTATCAATCCCAAAATAACCACACATCCCCCCTATCCCCCTATTCCTTTATCCCTACAACTCCCCCCACCATCTCCTTATCTCTTTATACCCTCATACACAAATATTCCAAATTATCCCTCCTAATCCTCTTAATCCCCTATCCCCCCACATTCTTCCTATTCCCCCTCCCCATCCCTTTCCCTTTTTTTTTTCCTCCATCCCATTAACCCATTCATCCCCAATATCTATTCATCCCTCTTAATTCCTTTAACTTTCATCCTCCTTCCTCTTCCTTTTCTCCTCTTCCTCCTCCCTCCCATTCCTCCTCTTCCCCTCTCCTCCTTCCTCTCCTTCTTCCTCCTCTCCCCCTTTACCCTTTTTCCCTCCTCCTTTTCCTCCTCTTCCTCCTTTTCCTCCCTTTCCCTCCCTTCCTCCTTTCCCTCCTCTTCCTCTTTTCCTCCATTTCCTCTTCTTCTCCTCTTCCCCCTTCCTCCTCTTCTCCCACTCCCTCCTCTCCTCCTTTCCTCCTCTTCCTCCTCTCTCATCAATCCAACCTCCTCCATATACTAACCATTCATCCCTAAAAATACCCCTATAATCCCTATAATACCCTATACCCATATACAACCCTATATATCCATATAATACCCTATCATCAAATAATACCTTATAATCCAAATATACCCTATACCCAATAATACCTTAAATAATCCAATATAACCCTATCAACCCATATATTACCTTCTAATCCAAAAAAAAACCCCTATCATCCATTATATCATACCTATAAATCCAAATAATAACCCATACTATCAATACAAATATAAACCTATCACCCATATAATACCTTATAATCCAAATATAACCCTATCATCATTATAATACCTATAATATCAAATAATACCCTATCCCCCATATAACTCCCAATAATACCTATCACCCATATAATATTTATAATAAATTAATACCTTATCATCCTATAATCCTTATAATCAATCATACCCTATAACCCATATAATACCTTATAATCCATATAACTACCCTATCACCCCTATACCTTCCAATAATACCTATCACCCATATAATACCTTTAATCTTTAATACTTATCACCCAATATAATACTTATAATCCAAATAATACCCAATACCCATCTACTCAAATATACCCTATACCATATAATACCTTATATACCTATAATACCACATAATACCATACAATACACATATTACCATCCAATAACTATATTACCATATAATACCCATTTTTCCAATAATACCATTACCCCCCCCATACCTACACATTTCCCCCTATCAATCCCAAAATAACCACACATCCCCTATACCCTTATTCCTAATCCCTACCACTCCCACCATCTCCTTAATATCCTCTATATCATACACCAACTACTCCAATTATCCTTAATCCTCTAATCCCCTATCCCCACATTCTATCCTATTTCCTCCTACCACCTACCACCTCCTCCACACCCAATCCCATATCATCCACCAATCCCACCCACATTCCCCACCAAACAATCATACCCAAACCCCCCCCCCCACACCCCACAAACCCCCTTCCAATCCCATAACCCCACCAAACTCCCAATTCCCCACATCCAAAATCCAATAATACCCCAACCCAAAATCCCCCCCCAATCCCCATAATCCCACTCCCCCACCCCATCCCACAAATCCCCAAAAACCCCCCATCCCCATCATCTATATTCCCCACCATCCCACACACCAATCCCAAATCCCATAAACCCAAAACCCCCTCAATCCCACCCACATCCCCACCATCCCAACAATCCCTATAATACAATCCCAATCCCCCACCCACTCATCCCCCCCCCCCAAAAAAACCCATCCCACCATCCCCATTACCTATTAACAATACAAATAAATTAAACCCTAAAAACCTACACTTATACACCATCCCCCCACAACTAACACAACACCATCCCCACAACCTAAACCCCACCCATTAACCTACCCCCCCCACACCCTACTCCCAACACAATAACCCATATCCCCCCCCACAACCTAACTCCCCACATCTAACCCCCATTCCCCACCCACACATCCACCCCATTAAAACAACAACCCCCCCCCCCCAAATTACCCCCCCACTCACACCACACCACCCTTAAACCCCATCCCCCCCCAAACAAAACCCCCCCCCCTAAAACAATTATCAACCCCAAACCCCATTAAACCATATCCCCCCACAACCTAATCCCAACAACATTAACCCCATACCCCCCCCACAACCTAATCCCAACAACATTAAACCCATCCCCCACACCACCTAATCCATCACATTAAACATCCCCCCCCACAACCTGATCCCCCCATTAAACCATTCCCCCACCCCAACCTAATTCCAACACATTAAACCATCCCCCCCCCCACAACCTAATCCAACACCATAAACCATTCCCCCCAACACACCTAATCAAACCACAATAACCATTCCCCCACCACCAACTAATCAACCCATTAAACCCCATCCCCCCCCCCACAACTAATACCAACCATTAAACATTCCCCCCCCCACAACCTAATCCAATACCATTAAAACCCCATTTCCCCACCACAACCTATCCAACACATTAAAAAACCCATCCCCCCCCCCCACACTATCAACACCATTAAACCCCATACCCCCCCACAACCTAATCCCCATAACACCATTAAACCATTCCCCCACCACAACCTAATCAAACATTAACCATTCCCCCAACACAACCTAATCCAACACATAACCATTCCCCCACCCCACAACCTAATCCAACACATTAAACCATTCCCCCACCCCAACCTAATCCCTACCCATTAAACCATCCCCCCCCCACAACCTAATCCCCCCCCCCCCCAAAAACCATTAAAACCCATCCCCCCCCCACACCTAATCCACACATTAAACCCACTTCCCCCAAACTAATCAATACCCTTAAACATTCCCCCCCCCCACCACCAAACAAACACATTAAAACCATACCCCCCCCCCACAACCTACTCCAAACATTAAATTAAAAAAACCCCATTCCCACCCCCAACCTAATCCACACATTAAACCATCCCCCCCCCCAAAACCTAATCCAACACCATCTAACCCCATCCCCCCCCCCCCCACCAACCTAATCCAACACCATTTAACCCATTCCCCCACCCCCACAACCCCTAATCCACCACCATTACTAAACCCATTCCCCCAACCCAACCTTAAACCAACACCTTAACCCATCCCCCCCCCCCACCCACAAACCTAATCAAACACATTAACCCATTCCCCCACCACAACCTAATCCAATACCATTAAACCATCCCCCACCACAACCTAATAACACATTAAACCCATACCCCCCCCCACAACTAATCCAACAACCATAAACCCATTTCCACCAACCCCAACCCTAATCCAAACACCATGAAACCCATCCCCCCCCCCCACTACCTAATCCAAAACATTAAACCCATCCCCCCCCACAACCTAATTCCAACACATTAAACCCTTCCCCAACCCACACCTAATCCCCCACTCAATAAACCATTTTCCCCAACAACCATAATTCCAACACATAACCATCCCCCCACCACTAATCCCCACACCCTTAAACATACCCCCACCACAACCTACTCCAATACATAATCCCATTCCCCCACCCCACAACCTAATCCAACACATTAAACACATCCCCCCCCCCCACAACCTAATCAACACATTAAACCATACCCCCCCCACACTAATCCACACAATAAACCCATTCCCCCCACCCCACACCTAATCAACAACCATTAAACCCCATTCCCCCACCCCCCACAACTAATCAACACCATTAAACATTCACCCCCACCACAACCAATCCCAACATTAAACCCCATTCCCCCACCACAACCTATTCCAACACATTAAACCATTTCCCCCACCCCACAACTAATCCCACACCATTAAACCATTCCCCCACCACAATTAATCCCAACACATTAAACCATACCCCCACCACCAACCTAATAAACACATTAAACCCCCCATACCCCCCACAACTTAACCAACATCTTAATCCCATACCCCCACCCCTAATCCACCACATTAAACCCATACCCCCCCCCACAACCTTAACCAAAACATTACCCATACCCCCACAACCTAACCCAACACATTCAACCTACCCCCCCACAACCCCCCCCCTAAATCCAACACATTTAAACCATCCCCCCCCCCACACTAATCCAAAACACCCATCCAGAGGAGAGGAATTCGTTCTACCGAGATATGCACACTATTTTAACTATATTAGTCAAAAAGATAAAAACGTTGTCGTGGAGTGCAAGCTTTGTGCGGGCAGCAAGCGATTGCTCCGACAGTCAGATATCAGTCTCCCACTGCCTACCCTAAAATGGGAAAAAGACTTAGACCTAATCCCCGATGCGGATTTCTGGACCCAGATCTTTGAAAACATCTACTTCATGTCCCGAAATGCAAACATCCAATTAATCCAATATAAAATTATTCACAGATTCCACTACACGGGTGAAAAGTTACACAAAATGGGTTTCACATCAAACATATGCACACAATGCTCACAGAACGCGCCAGATACATACCTGCACGCACTCTGGGCCTGTTCACCTGTTAGGACACTCTGGGATAACATTGAAATCACTCTCCCCTCCATCCTTGGCCGCCACATCCCATTATCACCAGCTCTCTGTCTGCTAGGAGACACAACTGCATTGAACCTCACACTCCCACAAACTCGCCTTCTGCTTATTGCCCTCACAATCGCCAAGAAGACAATCCTCATAAACTGGAAGACATAAAAAACCATACACATTGCCCACTGGAAGAACCTACTCACAGGATTTATATCATCTGAACTTTCTTCAACAACAAATACACATGATCATCTCAGCAAAAACCTCTCTTGGCTAACCCTGATAGAAAGCATCACTTAAAAAAAAACAAAAAAAATAAACATCTTAACCACCTCACATACCACTCCACATAGACCTCTCCTTCTTCGTTTCACTTCATCCTCTCATCTCTCCGTATACAGTATACATTTGATTTAGTAAAACAGTATACATATGATAAAATAATACAGTAGGAATAGGATATAATTAGGGCTGGGCGATTAATCGATTTTAATCATTAATTCGAGTTTTACGTTTAGGGCGATTTCTTTTTTTTTAAATTCGATTTTTATTTTCTCCAGCGCAGAACTACAGCGCTAACGCGCTAACCGCGGGTCTATGGTGTTGAGCAGTCATTTTGAAGCTAACCTAATGCTAAGTCTCCCTCTGGCCTGATGCTCGCTCTCACAGTTGGTGCTGTTGCAATAACACTTCAAACGTTCAAGAATCAGACTTTATTTAAATCGCCAGAACACACACACACACGCACGCAGGCTCCGGTCGCTATGTTCGTACGCCATGTTCGTACGCCACATCTTTCACGCTCTCTCACGCTCGTTATTCCAAAGCGCACTCCCGTGTCCGTGGCGCGCACGCACTCGTGTCCCACTGAGCCGCTGCACTTTGGGGAAAGACACGTCTCACACATTGCTCTCATTGCTCTGATACAAACAACGTGTTCCCCGCTGTCTGTTAGCTACAGTAGCTGCTACTGTAGCTGTTAGCTACAGCATCAGAATGTAAACAGGAAGCTCGCACAATGCGGGAGTCACTGAAGTTAGTATTAGCGCCACCAGCTGGACCGAGCGTTGTACTACAGCACAGTTACTCAGGCACAGTTGAAAGAACAAGCATGAAAACCCGAGGAGGCTTTTGGAAAAGACTGTCTGTTACAACATTTCTATTTTGAGTAATCAGTTTTAAAAATGTGATATTTCATGTAAATAATGCATGTGTTTAATAGGATTGATATATTTGCGATGGGCCTTGTTTGTGTGATTTAAGTTATTTTGAAGGTGCATAGTGTCATTGTAAGTGAAGTTATTATAAAACTGTTAAGCTACATTTTCACTGTTTACAATGGCAGAGCCATCTCGTTTACAAGCATGTTTTAAGGCTTAATTCCTGTTACACTTATGCTCCATGGGGATTAGATTAAACTGCATAAAGGAAAATCTATTTCTTTGTCAGTTGTAGTTTGTTTTTAAATAGAAAAAAATAAATCGATTAAAATCGAAAATCGGATTTGGTGTGAAAAAATCGGAGATTTTTTTTTTTGCCATATCGCCCAGCCCTAGATATAATAGTAAAGTATGGTATGATGGTGATAAAGTATAATATTGTATAATAGTATAACATTGTAATACATTCAATATTACATTCAATAATAATAATAATTATTATTATTATTTTTTTTTTTTTTTGCAACACTATTCAATAAATAGATAATACTCTTACACAACCCAGACGATAGTGGGGTGTCTGTTCTAGACTAGTCTGGCACAAAAACCCCTCTATCTCTTTTAATGCAACACACACATGACACACAGAAAAAACACCAAAAACAAACAAATGCACCATAACAGATGGATAAGAGGAATGTATGATCGGTATATGTATATGTATATATATATATGTATGTATAATAATATAATAACATTCAATTCAATTAGATCACATCTATAAAAAATAAATACATTTAAAAACACATTCAATCCAAACAAGCGCATTTATTGTTGCAGTTATTAATTTTATTATTGCGGATGTTATACTTTATTTCTATTATCACCATCATCATCTTTATTATAATCATTATCAATGTTATTATGCAACAATCGTATATCATTATTCATTATTATTATAATTTAAATGTTATATATATATTTATATGTATATGTTTAAATTTACTATTATATGTTTATAATTATTGTTTGTGTGAATGTATGTATGTGTAGATATACACTTTCTTTCCTTCTCCCCCTCTTCTGTACATAGGAAAAGATTTCTGTAATGCCACATTCACTCTCATGCACACACATGCACACACTCACTCACACACACACACACACACACACACACACACACACACATGCGCGTGCGTGCAACGATTGCTTTTTCTTTCTTGTTGGTCTCACTGTCCTCTCTCCCCTCTTTGTATAGATTCTCCTCTTACGTTGTAAATATCACTGAAACTGATCACCTATGTTGTCTTTGTTGTCTGTGTTTGCTTCTTGTTTGTCGTATTGTATGTATTGTATTGTATGTTTTGTATGTCTACTCTCAACAATAAATGAAAAAAAAAAAAAGCAAGCGATTGCTCCGTTCACATTATTCCAGTGGAATAACTGCTTGCCCAAGGCCAGCAGTCATCAGTGGGAGTCGGTGGAGAAGGTGCAGAGGTGGGAATTGAACCCACGACCTTCTGGCCTTAAGGCCAATGCTCTACCAACTGAGCTACTGTCGCCCTGATGTCACAATAGCATATGCCAAATGTGGAAAAAGCTGATTCGAGACTACAAAGACAAATATCAAAAAATATTATATGACTTGGATTACCATGACAATTGGTCTGCAGCTTTCCTCGGTAAAAAAGAAATAATGAGCGACGACTGGGAGCATTCCTCCTGTGAATTCTATTATCCGGGCGAACCGCTCAAATAGACCGCGGTCTGATATTTCTCTGTACAGACCTCGCGCTTGTTTAATAAGCCGTTAATATAAACACCAGGATCCCAGAGAGCATTTAAACCACGGATTTCTTAATCCCAAAATGGTGTGTGACACAAACCGTTACTGAGCTAGGGGAGTTTACTCTTTAATGAATTCGACAGTTGGAACAAAACTTCATCCATGAGCACTTTACTATTGGGCTTCATTGAACGAGAGTGTTGGCGTTCATCTATCTACAGTCTATGGTCTCACACCAGCTTCCTCACAATGATCTTCTTTTCAAAGTTGTTTTAATTTAAGTAATGTAT